CCTGGCTAAACCATAGTGCCCAAACCTCTCAGAGCTGCCATCCTTCTCTCAGCTAGAGCAGTTCCTGCATTACTTGCCTCTTAGCTCCAGGAGCTCCTGCCCCTCTCAGTTGCTGGCAGGGAACTGCCAGCCTGGTCTTAGCCCTGGGCTTTATAAGGGCCAGGCCCTGCCTCCGACAGGCAGCTGGTTCCCCTCAGCTGCCCCGGCAACCCGCAGCTGGGCTCGTTACCCTGGCAACACTCAGCTGGGCTCATTATGACCTGCCAGGGCTCTGTCTCTCTCCCTGGCAGTTTCTCCCCTCTAGGAGCAGGCACTGAGGTGCTCTGCAACAGCATTAAACAGAGAATAAATCTAAATTGTGAGAAAAAGGATACATTTTGTAAAATATAGGTCTGAACCTATACTTTTTACACACAGAGTGATTGCAAGATTGGGCTTCATATTTTGCATTGTCAATTACATAGATGAAGTCCTTGGGCCAGAAGAGCAGCTGCATTACATTACCTGGTAGAGTTATTGGTCTGGTAGTCCACAAGAACCTAATTCAATTCTAAATTTTATTTTCATTAATATGACAACTGCTATCAGTAATAGGAAAATTGTAGAAATTGAAGATACTAATCTATAGAAGAACATAATTCTTTGAGTGCAAGACAGTATATGATAGAATGTTTCCTTCCTCCTTAGGCTTCCTTTCAGTATTGAATAAAATTGTTACCTTTTACTTCTTTCTCTGTGCAATGCACTAAAAAAAGTGCTGAATTCTATTGTTTGTGTGACAGGAGATGTGACCTAAGTATTTGTCTATATGAAATCCATCTTTCATTAAATATTTACTGTATAACCTTTTAAAGTCCTGACAAGACATTCACAGTGGAGATGCACATTTCATACTTGTTATCCATGAAATTAAGCAGCCAGGGTTCTGGAAATTGTAAAATATTTCTCAGAAAGTAAAATCCAAAATGCCCTTCCTTCATGTACTGTTATCTAATAAGGAATGGTAGGTTATATGATTCACATTAGGAAAGCATCCAATTATCTGCTTCAAAGGCTGTGTTAAAATAAGATTTTACTGTGTGTTACTGGATGACTCAGAAAATGCACACAGACTACTGTTAGATAACTATTTCTCTGATCATCGATATGTTGCGTGTACTTTTTATTTTTATATTTATTTTCTTGCTAATTAAAGAAATTTTGACTGTCTACAAAAGTCTTGCTACATATTCAGATGTGCCATCCATTATCTGATTGACTAAACTATGCATACTAGGATTTGGAGGATCTAGCCTCTGTCTCACTTCATTTATCTCTAAGTGGGTGTTTGCAGTACTTGTGACCAAGAGAATTATTATAATAAGATGGAAGAACAATACCTGCCCAGCATGTACATTAGCTGTTTAAAACAGATAGCAAGATTATTATTTTTTGAGGGGGAGAGGGGTAAAAAAAGATAAAATCTTGTGGTTTTAAGACAAAATGATTGACAGTATTCAGTGATGTTTGCCTCTTTTCCTTCTGATTAATAAATCAAAGTCCCTG